GGGGGGGGGCAGCCACAAAGGCAAGAAGTGACTGGCTTACAAGCTTTCAAGAGGAAGCCTAGATCCAGAGGGTACAGAGGAAGGCAGAATTTCCACTAAGCAGTATCCAATCTGTCTGGGTGGGGCTGATGAAAGGAAACAGGGATAGCACTCATGTGGTACAACAGTGAATAATTAATATCAGGACTGACTGTGAGGGTTAGAAATGTAAAGGTAGACGTTTTGTAGCAAAAGGAGGCGAGTGATTGACTTTGCAGTCCAGGAGCAGAGGTTCCTGGGATTATCAAGGGAGAAGAGTGGAGAGTGGGACCCTACCCAGAGAAGCAGTGACGCCAGAGATGGAGGCAGAGATGATAACATGGAGAAATGGAGCGGCTGGGAACTCCAGACCCAGAGAGGGAGAGGGACTGTATGCTGACAACTGGGGGGCAGGCTTGCAGGGTATACTCTGTGGTTGGTTGATGATGTATGGAGGGGATAATAACCATGGGAATGAGAGGATATAAAATAGGATGAATGTAAAGGTAATGTTCTCCCATGTGAGCTATCATATAACTCATAATAACATTTAAAAAAAAAAAAATTGTTCAAGTATTTTAAATTTCATCTTTCTCTGGAAAAAGTTTCCAAATGGCACGTTAGTCTTCCTTTTAACCACCTGCACTCCCTTCTAATGTTACCCACCTAACTAGTCTAAGAGATTCCTCAAAAACATAATTGCTGTTGAGCCAATTCTAACTCACAGCAACCTATAAGAAAGGCCCATAGGTTTTCCAGGGTTGTAATCTTTATGGAAATACACTCACTGCCTTATCTTTCTCCCACAAGTTGGCTGGTGGGTTCTAACCGCTGGCCTTTTGGTTACCAGCTGAACACTTAACCACAGTGCCTGCCCCACGGCTCCACTAGAGGTCCCGCAGAAATCCGTATTTCTAGGAAAATCCCGTAAGTCGATAAATAAAAAGGATGATAAAATTTAGGTGTGTGTTTTGCTATAGTTAGTTATTCAGTGAACGTTTTCTGAGAATTTTTTATGTACCTGGCACTGACCTACTGCCGAATTTCTTCTGAAACTTGAGCACATATCTGTGTGACTTTTCATCTTAGTGTTCACACCATATGCACTCAGAGTTCTCACACCCCTCCTTTCTATTTTATCTCTAAAACATGTAGGAAGCAATCATCTATCTATCTTTCTATTTAAGTATAAATAAAGATTTCTTCCTATAGGCAGTTGAGGCCATTTAGACTTTTGCTTCCTTGTCAAAGCAAGGTTTCCAGATGAAAAAAGTCTAAATGAGACTCATGGTGATTCCATGCACAATGGGACAAAGCACTGCCCCATGGTTGCTTGTGGACTGGACTGTTATGACCCACTGGGCTTCATTGGCTGAGTTTAAGTAGATTTCCAAGCATCTCCCCTAGTCTATGTTAGTCTGTAAGATCCACTGACAGATGGCTGGTAGCTGTACATGAGTTCTGTCAAGGAATCAAACCTAGGTCTCCACATGGATAGCTAGAATTACACCCCAGAACCACCAATTTTGCCTCACAATTAGCATTTGTTTTTAAGGGTTGCTGAGTTGGTTCTGACTCATAGTGACCTCGTATAGGGTTTGAGAGGACCAGCTGGTGAGTTTTGAATAGGCGACCTGACAGTTCAAACCGATCTTATTGTCCAGTGCTTACCCTACAATACCACACCAGGACTTCACAATAAGACAAGATAAGCAGAAAAACAGTAGCTTACTACTTCTAAAGAAGAAGCTTTACCCATGAAAAACAGTAGCTTACTACTTCTAAAGAAGAGCTTTACCCATGAAACCGTCTCCTGTTTTTAAGGCAGTTCTGGTTAACTTAATATGAATCCTAAACTTGGACATAGAGTAAAAAATAAGAATGGGGAATTTGAAAATAATTTGTACAAAAAGGTACAGGTCAGGTGAACAGACCTGAATAGGTTATACAATGCACACATAAGGACAATCAGTGCTGACATTTCCCCACAACATACCTTTTTTTCATTCACTTTCCCTACTTCTTCACTTGTTTGTTCAGTATTAGCAGCTTCAGCTTTTACTCCAACACCTAAATGCTCTGATACTGAATCATTCAAAAACCACAAGTCATCTGTAGTGTCTGAAACAAGAGCAGTACCTATATCCTAATAGAAAAAAAAAAACACATGAGTTCACATAGTCATCAGAGGCTTATGCTGAACCAGCACATATGGACTCAAAGAGTTAACATTACACCTCCAAAGAATACTTTTTCTTTAACACACATCAAATCACTCAGCAGACAGGTCTATTTGGCACCTACTGTATCTACGCTAATGGGTAGACAGGACTTCTCTATTTTAACAGTAAATCAGGTGTAACACCCAAAAAACATTATGGATAAACTTAAAAGACAGAGTCATAGTTGTTCAGCTAAATAAAATTCATTCTGCAGATTCCTTTCCAAATGTAGCAACACTCAGAGAAGTTATAAAACCTATTAACTGACTATGACACATACCTTCCTTAAATGGCCAGTGATCAAAAATGGAATTAGAAGATAACAAAAATTTCCACAAACTTTTTGAAGCCTCCTCATACTTTTCTGTCACATTCATTATTTTACCATTCTTATATGATCTTACTCAATGTCTACCACAAGCCAGCTACTGTTCTAGGTTGTAGGCAGTGGGGAATAATCCAATGGCCTGGGCTTATATTTCAGAGGCAACAAACAGACAATAAATACATAAACTACAGTGTTAACATTTCCACAAAGTGAGTGCAGTGGAGAATATAATAAAAGATTAAAGAGCAGAGTAGCGAAGAGGTACTATTTTAACTAGGAATCGCTGTTAGGACCACCACATATCACTAATTGTTCCACTCCATAATAATAATTTGTTAAGTGCCACTGAGTTGATTCCACTCACAGTGACCCCGTCCATATAAGGTATTTTTGAGGCGTGGCTGGTGGGTTTGAACCCCGGATCTTGTGGTTCAAAAGTCCAGTGCTTACCATACCACACCACACCAGGAATCCACTGTTGTGTAAACGTCCACTCAAATCACTATAAAGCTAAATAATACTAATAATACTAAGTGAATGGATCTCCTTGGAATTGTGCATGACAGTCTTGGTGGCCAGAGAAGACCTTTTTGAGGAAATTACTTTTGAGCTGAGGTCTGAATCTTAAAAAATTAATGAAAGGATGACTTAGGGGAAGAGTGTTCCAGCAACAGGAAAGAAAAAAATACACCATGCCTGAGGAAAAATGAAACTGTGGATCATAGAGTCAATCTGAACATTTGTCTAGAATGTATAGAGTAACAAGTACAAGTGATAGGAGGGGACCAGATCTGTAGTGGCTAGGGTAAGGAGTCTAGGTTATGTTCTGCTTGTTATATGAAGGCATTAGAGAATTATAAACATGACGGTAATATGATCTTACTGATCTTTTGAACAAATGTACTCTTTTAGCAGACTGAACTATTAGACAAGAATAGAAAGAGGGAGGAAAGCTGTGAGGCTGCTACAGTACCTAAGTTAAAACTGAGGAGGGCTTGAATCAGGGTTATAGTGGTGTGTAAGTAGTAAATATTGGTTACTTAGATTTAGGACAGATTTTGGATAAAGAACTGATAACCTGGATGTGCCATATGACAGAGAAAGAAATCAGTGACAGCTCCTTAATATTTGGCCAGAATAACTTGGTAGGTTACAGGGATTATTTATGGAAAAGAAAAGGCTGGTGAAGAAGTATTTAGTGTAAAAAATTAAAACTCCAGAGTTCTCTTTTGAACATGCTAGACATAGGCTTATCTAAGTAGAGATGTTGAACAGACAGTTGGATATGGAAATTAGGCATTCAAGTGCAGGACGGATAGATTATCAGGCATCACAATCACAAAGATGGTATTTAAAGCCATAGTACTGAATGAGCAATCTTAAATCATCAAATGCATGGCTCAAGAGTAACCAAGAATGCTATACTCTTAAGAGAAAAAAAAAAAAAGAAAGAAAATTTCCCTTCAAACGTGAGATTTACCTGATTTGTCTGTAAATCAGTTGAGCCGTTACTTCTAGGTGAATAGGTGTTCCTCCAGTTTCCTAAAAACCACCAGGGCAGGCCAGCTACATCCCATTCCTCAAACCCAAGGTCCAGCACAGATTTCTCATTTGGGGTAACAGTTTCTACCAAGTCTTGATCTACAGAAGTCAAATGAAAAGGATAAGGACTACGTACATAACACTTAAGAGCTAAGTCTCTCTTTATAAAATTTACAGCTTCTTTGTAAGATAAAAAAACTTGTTCCCTATCCAGAGAAACAGTTACACCAGAGATGGTGGCAGAGATGATGATGTGGACAGATTGAACAGCTGGGGGACTCTGGACTCAGGGAAGGAGAAGGGCAGTGTGCTGACGGCTGGGGGGGGGGGGGGGGCAGGCTTGCGGGGTGTATCCTGTGGTTGTTTGAATGGTTCTATATCCTTGAGCACTTCGGTGTACATTAAAAAAAAAAATTGCTATTCCCAGTAAGAATCAGAAATCAAGTGTCTTGTCTGTTGAGAAGCCCAAATCTCCTCCCCAGTTTAGGGTTCATTAGCAAACAATGGCACTAAAAGAGATGACAATTTACCAAGGAATCCAAACTCTGGATACACCCACTTTCAGACTGTTCTATGAGGGCTTTTCAAAGATCATTTACTTGTATTTTAAACATACCTACCACTAAAGACAAATAGCTAAACAATAATTTGCTGTATACAGTCCATGGTGCCTGTTAAGGACTTGACCTACTGGATTGTAAATGGTGGCAGCATACGTAATGGCTCCTGCCCTGGATTATGCTGAGGTAGGACAGATTACAATGGAGAATCAGACTGTCAAGGCAGTCTCACTGACACCACATATTTTGGGACATTCTCAAACAATCATGTTTTGGTAGATAACATGACACTGTCCTAATTAAATGCGCATAAACTCCCCACTGGTTGCACAGTGCTTAAGTGCTCAGCTGAACCCACCAGGTGCTCCATGGGAAAAAGATATGGCAGTCTGCTTTTGTCTTGGAAACTCTATAGGCAATTCTGTTTTGTACTAAAGGGTCATTATCAGTCAGAATCAACTCGATGGTAATGGGCCTAGGTTTATGCTCTCTCTGGATCCATGGGCTCTTTTGGAATATATAAAATCTAGAAATACTATAAATCTAAGTAGTTACGAATTGGGCTGCGAACCACAAGGTCAGCAGTTCGAAACTACCAGCTGTTCTGTGGGAGAAAGATGAGGTTTTCTGCTCCCGTAAAGATTTATAGCCTTGGAAACCCTGTACAGGGTTGCTATGAGTCAGAACCAACTCCACGTCACATAACAACAGCAACAACAAAATACATTAATCCTCACATAGCCTAGGTAAAAAAATAGCTCAAGTTATACATATAAATGATATTCAAGGTAGTTACTAACATAAATTTGTTCTACCGCATGAACTACTTTGCTTTCTTCACCATCTTCTAGTCTTTTTTGTAATTTTCCCAACCTACCCCTCTGTGCTACCTCTTCCCAAAGCACTAGGCAAGTCAATGGAACCACAGGTGCTTAAGTATGCTGATGTATATATAACAGAAAGGATTTCTGCAATAAACTGGGTTCCTGTCAAAACTATAGGTTACCTTGTTGTTGTTGTTGTTAAGTGCCATCGAATCGGTTCCGACCCATAGCGACCCTGTACAGGGTTTCCGAGGGTGTAAATCTTTACGGGAGTAGAAAGCCTCATCTTTCTCCCGCGGAACGGCTGGTAGTTTCGAACCGCTGACCTTAAGGTTCGCAGCCCGATTCGTAACCACTACGCTACCAGAGCTATAGGTTACCTATATACTTATAAAAAGAGCCCAGTGGCAAAATTGTTAAATGCCTGGCTGCTAACTGTAAGGTTGGTGATTCGAACTCATCCAGAAATTCTGATAAGACAGACCTAGATCTGGCAGTTCTACTCTGTCACATAGGTTTCCTTATGATTTGAAATCAACTTGATGGCACCTAACAATAGCTACTTACAATAGCTACTAACTTAATTATGCCAACCTTGCCTGTTAAAAAGCACATCTGTGCCAAGGGAAACATTTTACTTATTCATTGCTGAAATGATCAGAATCCAAATTCCTGAGATGATGATGTCCTACTAATGATCAAGTCAGGTTCCACAACTTCTTGTAAAAAAAATGGAAATAAGTTACTCTTTATAAAATTAAAAATTCTGTCCTTCCTACCTTTTAGTATACAGGTCATCCTAAAAATACTAAGCTATGTATTTCTAAAATTTCTATCATAAACTACATATAGTATCTTGAATTAGCTGTTCTTGTATTTTAAACAACCTTCTGAGCAGAAAATAAGCAAGGACCTGAATTCTTAAAAAAAAAACCACACACACACAAAATACACTAATACCTTCCAGACTAGATAGCTGCCAGGGAACTAAGTAACCCACAATTCAGTTCAGATTTAAAACCAATCTGAAGAAAACAATCCAGCATGATACATGGATTAAAATTTTAACATTTAAAAAACTTTGCAGTCTAACTTTCTGGGGGCATTGCTGGAAGACTGACCTGTCATTTCTGTAAATGTGAGCAAGCTTCTTCTAGACCAACATGCCATTAGATGCCTTTGGGGATTTAAGATTCTGTACATCTTTGCAGGAAAAACCTCACAATTTTTAAAAGGTACTTTAAAAAGACCAATTTTTAAAGATACTTCCAAAGCTGTGGTTTTAACCCATTTGGCCAAACCATACAATATGTAAAATATGCATGGCAAATATTATGGGTCGGACCCGACTCGATGGCACTTAACAACAACAACAACATCACCTAAAGGAAGGAGCTCTGGTAGCGTAGTGGTTACGAATCGGGCTGCGAACCTTAAGGTCAGCGGTTCGAAACTACCAGCCGCTCCGCGGGAGAAAGATGAGGCTTTCTACTCCCGTAAGGATTTACACCCTCGGAAACCCTGTACAGGGTCACTATGGGTCGGAACCGACTCGACGGCACTTAACAACAACAACAACAACATCACCTAAAGGCAAGGAAATTAGGCTTCTTATATTTTGTTCTAAGGTCTCAGAATCCAAGTATGTTTCATCATCTCTGCAACCTGCAAACTCAATGAAAAGCCTTTGCTTCAGACAAATGAAAATAAAAATTCTAACTAAATCAAATGTATACAAGCATGCCAAGATTAAAAAGGCAGAGAGATAGCAGAGTTCACATACAAGGGGGCTTCAAAAAGTTGTGGAGCAATGAAACTGAAAGATAATGGCATTTTTCCAAGAACTTTTTGAAGCCTCCTCCCTACCAATAGAAGATTTAACAAATAGCAAATGATACACCTTGTATTAGCATGCTAGCTAAAAGAACGATCTTGCTCCATTTCAGTAATCATTCATTGCTAAAAGAGCACTACAGATTTCTTCAATGTTAACAATGGTGACTAGGTTGAAAAAAATGATTAAAGAAGAGAATGAGGAGAAGCAAATGGAGATGTCCTCCCATCCTTCCACAGCATGGAAGGAGACAATATAGATTTTCTTTTAGTTCTCTATATACAAGTTGCAATAATGGTCTTAATTACAGCTCATGCTTAATATGAGCACATGCCATTTCCAGAAATTACCAACAGCAATAACAACAAAAAAAGAAAAGTCTACGTGGCCTTAATCAAAATTTAACCTTGTCTTGAATTTTTGCAGTTACGCTGAGAGGCAGATAGGGTGGGAACATTGCCTTCTTCGGTTCTTTTCCTGGAGTTCAAACTGTCCTCTTCCCTTTGCTGAAAAGAAGCGAAAGGTGCCTGTCAGTGCAGTAGACATAACTGAGTCCAGGGGATGTAGCAGTTCCATTCTGGATCACCAGTTAGTGTGTAGCACAATGGGCTACACACAAGAAAGATAACTCTGGAGTACACAACAGCCATCAGATACAGGCACCACCTTTCAACCCACTGTGAAAAGAGGTGGGAGAGTCTCAAACCTGAGAAAAAATCTCTGCATAAAAGGCCAAAATCTACTGCTATAAACAGACTATCAATATAAAGCTTCTAGCCTACAACATAATTAGGCATAATACATAAAACATGTGAAACCATAAACATATAACGATGATCATCATAAAGTTTTCCCAGGTTTGAGGAAGAAATGGTCTGACATGAACTTAATTTCAACAAGCCCATTAAATTCTAAAAAGCAGCAGTTTCCTTAGACACCTGTGTATATATACAATCACACACACACACATAGGCACACACAAACTCAGGAAAACATAACTGGAAGAACTGAAGATCAGAAGTGCTACATCCCAAAGAAAAAGTCAGAGAATGGAACTCTGTTATGGGCAGAACAGAGAAGGTTCACTCTGTCCCTGGTCTATGAACTCCCAAGAGCCTTTCTTATTAAAGTCTTACCACATTCGAGGAAAGGTCTTGGGAGTCCAAGATCCACAGGTACAGAGAAGGGGCCACTCTGTACAACAAAAGAAGTCACCATGTGGTGATTTTACCTTCAGTTGGTCTTGGCTTGGAATATCCATACTGTGATCCTGAGCGAGAGCGTGAGTCTGAGCGGCATCTGGATAGCAAGTAAAACAAAAGGAAAACCTTCCCTGGTAATAACCATTCTTTCCACACAGAAAGGACCTCAGCAAACAACCCTGGAGCTTAGACATTACTTCTCTGTGTTGACTGGACAAGGCTCTCATTGGCAAGAAGGGAAAAGGCAAAACCAAAAAAAATGGCAAAGACCAAGACAGGCCATACTCAAAACATATTACCAAAATACCACACCTTGGGGAAAATGGGGAGAAAAATAGCTAAAAGTGTTCTTCTTCCATAGTAACCTTTAAGATTTTATAAGTAGTTCCAAGCAAGAAATAATGAAAAGTAATTTGGTAAACTCTTTGTATAGCTGTACTGCCAAATTTGCCTAAATTGTGAACACATAAGAAAGTGTAAGATTTTTTTTAGGAAGTTTTACTATTCCCAGTTACTATAAACATTTCCTAAGAAGAGGGCAAAAAGCTTTTCTAATTAACAATAAAAAGAAGCCAAAAAAAACCCAATAATAAAGCAGACAGAAATTCTTAGATAATGCATTAGTCCAAAGAAATGCATTTCCAGAACTCAGAAAACGTTCGAGCACAATGAGGGTAGGGGATGGGGTGGGGGAGACAGGTGTAGAGAACTGAGAACTGAAGACCACTTGTAATGTAAGATTGTATGTAATGGAGATGCACCAAGTAATTAACAAGGTCCAAAGTGAAGACACTTAGGGAAAAACCATCTTCATCTAACACAGATTGTCAGAGAAAAAATACTGGTCCTACAACAGGTCAGGCAATTCAGCTTTTTTGCACAAAGCAAACATTTTCAAGACTGTTATTATAAAGGACATTATTTTTAAAAGCTTTACCAATATTTATAAGTAAACAGAGATATTGAAAGGCTCAAAAGAGCATTTTCTGACCACAGTGGTCTTCAAAGCAAAGTGCAATTAACATGCAAGGCAAATAAAGCCGTCTATTTAATAAAGTAATTCTACTATTATCCTTTGTGGTTCTAAAGTTTTACTATCCTATGTAAGTTAAAACAGATTGGGGTGGGGGGGGGGAAGGAATTCTGAAATAAATACAAGGTTTGTTATATTTATTAATATACACAGGATAATATGGAAGAATGACTTAGAAAGAAAAACCTTCATTTTAAAGAATGGGATTTTCTTTGACCATCAAACAAAAGGTTTAGCCCATTTGTAAAGATTTAAAATGGGTGAAGTGGAAAGCATTTTTCTCCTTTGTCATTTCAGGTGAAACACATGCAATCAAATTTAGGAAGATTAACAGGGCTGGCCTGTTATGGTGATAAGCAACACTACAAATCATAGCAGATCATTAATCCAAATCACTCGAATCAATATCATGGCCTTGATTATTCATATTATGCTTGTGTTAGATGTTACCACTTGGGGAATCTGGATAAGAGTATATGGGAGCTTTGCCTTCAGGCTGCCTGAGGATCAGTCGCCACCATGAATGGTACAATAACTGTCAGGACCAGAAGTTCATGATCAAATGACCACTCCAATGGAAAAATGGTCACTGATGGAATCTTTTATCTTACTAAGGCAGGAATTCAAGAAAAACTAGCCAAAGTGTTCAAGAGCACAACCAGATGTTCTCTTTGTGTTTGGATCCAGATCCCACTTTGGTGGTGGCGAGACTACTGGCATCAGAATGATTTATGATTCCTTGTATTATGCAAAGAAACCTGAACTCAAACAAACTTGCACAACATGTCCTGTATAAGAAAAAAAAGCCTTCAAGAAGTCAGTGCAAGGAACATCACGGAATGAAGAAAGTCAGGGGGACTATAAAAGCTAACACTGGTGCTAGCAAAAAGCGAACTGGAGATTGAATAACAGAATACTGGACCTCAATAATATTTTTGCAACTTTTTTGTAAATCTGGAATTATTTCAAAATGACCAGTTGGCGGGACGTACGGGGGTGGGGGGGGGGGGGAGGTGTTAAAAAATAACCTGGGACAAATTCTATCACAAGCAATGGTATGTGATCATATGAAGTCACTCAACCTATTGAAATGTCTCAGTTTTCTTTAACTTCATACCATCCTCAGAGTTGGTATGAAACAGAAATGTTCACTTTAAAAAATATATTTTAGGTGCAACATATAGATATTTAATACTACATACTTACACACACACACACACACACATATATTCTGCAGAGAAAGTAAAAGAAACTGCAAAAGAAAAATGTGAGAATTATACCTACTCAAAAGATATTCAGAGAAAAGATCCACCAAAAATTACTTTTCACTGAAAGAGTAGATCAGCAATTATAAAATCTTCCATGTATTTTAAGTCTAAAGTGACCATTTAGGAAAACCGTACTATCTCACAAATGACTGGATTTCAATAAGGATTCCATATCACTTGCAAGGCCTTCCCTCTGAAACAGAAATATAGAGCTACCTGCAGTGAATTTTGGTTTTCTTTTGTAATCAAATGGCTCAATAAAACCAACAGGCTTCAAAATTCATTTTAACTTCAAAAACATAACACAGTAAGAGAACAAAGTCTCTTTCCCTCACTTTAAAGCATAAATCTTTATTAGGTATAGGTTCTTTACAACCTATTTATTTCAGTAAACTATCAAAAGACAGCCCCCATCTAAATGATTACAAACTCAGACTTCATTCTGAGGATGTTACTTAAAACCTAATCTAAAGTTCACAAAGCAGTTTCAGTAAGAATGGAGAAAAAAAAAAAGTCATTATGTGGAAATGAGTGAGAAATAAGGTTCCAAAAACTTATCTCTAACAGACCAACACTACGAAGATTTCAGACCCCAAACAAGTCCGTTTCCTGCACATATCTAACAAATTAAACTCAAAGGGCAGGACTGGGAGCCCTGGTGGCTAAGTGCTTGGCTGCCAACTGAAAGGCTAGTGGTTCAAACCCACTAGCTGCTCTGGAGGACAAAATGTGGCTGTCTACTTCTATAGATAACAGCCTTGGAAACCCTCTAGGGACACTTCTCCTCTATCATATAGGGTCCCTACATCTGAGCTGGAATAGACTACACAATGGGTTTAAACTGTTAGCTAAAAGGTTTTTGAGGGTCCCTTGTAACAATAGGTGGACCAGGCTAACACCACGTGAGCCCACATCAAAGAAGAGGGGCAAACAGACCTTACAAGACCTTACTCTTGCTGTGATGCAACAGAAATACAAAGCATCACCTATAAACATTATTTTTAAAAAACATTAAACTGAGTCTACTCAAGCAAGGAAAGCTAATGAACATTTTACCAAAAAAGGGGATCAGAAAGAAACATGTTAAGCAGCATCACAAGGTTGCAATATGCCAAATTCTACAACGTGGGTGATTCTACAGGACAAATGACCCATTCATCAACAAATAGATAACATGAAAACAAAAGGAGGAATACGTTTTAGAGATTAAAAATATTTAAGAAACATTATCAACCAAATTTAATGTTTGGACTTTGGATTTGGATTTGAACAAGCCAAATATAAAAGATATATTTAAGATAACCAAAGAAAACAATAAATAAAAGCTATTGAGATGTGCTACAAAATAATTATTAATTTTGTGTTATTATTAACTTTATTTGGTGTAATGATAGCATTGTCGTTGTCTTTGAAGGGAAAAAGTCCTTATCTGTTAGAAAAATCTTATGTTAATATGAAGCAAATGTGGCAAAATATTAATAATTACTAAGTCTAGGAGGTGGCCATTAATGATACTATTCTATTTTCACTATGTCTGAAAAGTTAAACAACTTAACAGTAACACTTTGTATGACAAGTAGTTTCTATCTCTTATAATCATGCCAAAGACTGCATTCCACTGCCATGCTGAGCTGCTTGCTTTCCCACCATTTACCCTTTGAATTCAAAGCTGTGATACAGACTGTAGAAATAAAATGTGACGTACCTGCAGTACGAGTGGCTAAAGTGACAAGATTCTTTCTTAGCATATCATAGAGAGGGCTGTTAAAGAAATAAAATAAAAATGAACACCAAAAATATCACCCTGAAGATATTAGTAGTTTTTCATTAAATGTTAAATATATTTCTAATATGCTATTCTCCTAATTTTCTCTATAAGGTATGGAGAGGCAGAATTTTTTTCCATAATAGATTTTTAAATGTCAATATTGTTTGGTTTGAATTGTAAGGTCAGCAGTTCAAACCTACCTACCACTACTCAGAAACCCTAGACAGGGTCGCTGTGAGTCAGAACCAACCCCATGGCACTTAATAACAATAACAACAGGGTAGAGGGAAGGAGAGTTAATGAAGTCAGAAGGAGCAATCATTACAAAGCTAGAGAGTTAGAAAGGGAACACTGGCTTCTCATTATTAATGAGCTTTTAACTGTATTAGCTAATAACTGCATCACCATACAACAGGAGAAAGTCACAAACAGGTCAGATTAGCTTCACTGTGATTCTCACTAAGCTCATGACTGTCAACCTGCAACAGCCCAGCTATCCTACATTTCTCTCTCCTGTCTCCAACAAGTATTTTATAAAATTCCAACCTAGTCACACGAAGCTCTCTCCTAAACTAAGCTCTGCACACGATGTTCAATCTGCTTGAAGTTCTCTTCAACCAACTCCTTCTGATTGTTTAAATATCCTTAAGCTCTCACTTCAAAGGTCACCTCTTCATTTGAAGACTATTCTTTGACCTCTACAGTCCCAAATTCCCCTCTACAGCACTTGGTATAATTTTACCATATATTGGTGTGATACTATCTATCTTACAACATTGTCAACTCCATAAAACCAGGGATTGTGTTACAATATTGTATTCTCCATGTGTCATAGGCCACCAGCATATGCAGCCCCTTGAAAATGTGCAACTAAACCAGAACAAAAAACATTCATCACCTATGACAGTAAATGACTGAGTATAAGTCTCCAAAAAGAAACACAACCGTTACCTTGGCTCTTTCACGGAGAAGCTCTGATGTCCTAGTAGTTCTCCCAAAAGATCACCACCACAATAAACCATGTGCTGCTCCCGCTGATCAAAGAGCTGCTTCATCATTATATATTGGCCTAGATACTGCATGACCTGTGTGGGAATAAAGTACCATGAAGAGAGCTGTTCAGCAGCTACCAAAAACAAAAAACACCCATAAATTCTGAGGAGATAACGGAAGTTCATTTGCTGGAGGAAAAAAGAACCTGTTATTTATGAACATGACTGTCAGTAATTCAGAGTGCCTGTGCAAGGGGTCCCAAGCAGGATGGCTGTCCGCAAGTGCTAAGTTCTCCATTCCTTTCTGTTCTGGACATGAGACACCTGACTCTTAGCACAGAAATGTAGGGATCAATGAGAAAATGTGATGCATATACTTAGTATTTCCTTAAATTTTTCTCACCATTACAAATCTTATAAAAAGAGGCTGTACTCTTACTAGAAGTAACAAACTTTAAAACTGTCTGGGTCATAAAAAAATATTTTTCACATCCACGGGCAAAACAGACAACTATTCTTTGCTTTAGAAGTGTGTTTACTTAATTCTTTTGACAAACGAAGAGCAATGTTTAGCAGCCATCAGCACTGTAAAATATACAAAACATAGAATATACATGTCTATCAAATATAAATTTATCTGCTTGTTTTTCTCACAGTTCACAAAATTGAGGGAACACATGTAAGTTCACAATTCAAGATATAAAAGTTATCTAGAATACCGATGAAGTACTTCATATAACCTCTATTACATCATCCAGTTTGGTGCCCATCTTTTGATAAACTACTTGGTTGAACTTTATGATAAACCTAAATTAATTAAATCTGTTGAAAAGAAATATTTTTCTCCATGTATGTTATTAAAAAAAAAAACCACGCCTAATAAATAAAGTCACTTAATGGTGTAAGAAAGAATTTTGTTATCATAGATTACATGCAGACCAAAGCAGCTACCTTTAGGTTCTAATTTCTCAGGAATAAACTAGATATTTGCCTCAAAGATTTTTCCAACATCGTTTGCATTATATTGTTGTTGTCAAATGCCATCGAGTCAATTCCAACTCAGAGTGTTTCCTAAGTAAGTTGAACCACTGATCTTGTGGTTCAGAGCTTATCCTACAGCACCACTCCCCCACCACATACCTCTGATAACATGTCCCAATATTAATAGATTAGCCAAGCTCTGGTAGCATAGTGGTTACGAATCGGGCTGCTAACCTCAGGGTCAGCCCTTCGAAACTACCAGTGGTTCCGCGGGAGAAAGATAAGGCTTTCTGCTCCGTATAAAGATTTACAGCCTCCGAAACCCTATGCAGGGTCGCTGAGTTGGAACCAACTCCACGGCACATAACCACCACCACCACATCTAACCCAATATTGAGTAAACTCGGGAAAAACAGTATGTGAAAAACATCTACTAGAAGAAGTTGGATAACATTCTGTATTTCTATCTATTCAAGGAGTCCTGGTGTGACACTGTAGGTTAAGTACTGGACTGCTAACCACAAATTTGGTGGTTCAAACCCAACAGTCGCTCCTCGGAAACCCTATACAGGGTAGTTTTTAGAAGGTAATGTTCAACGCCCTTAACAACAATGCCAAACCAAACCCACTGATGTTAGACGATTCTGACTCATAGAGACCCTATAGGACACAGTAGAACTGTCAACAGGGTTTTCAAGGCTGTACTCTTTATGAAATCGGACCATCACATCCTTCTTAGCAAAAGCAGTTGGGAGATTCAAACTGCCTTTCTTCTAGTTAGCAAATGAGCACTTAACCAGTGTGCCACAAGGGCTCCTACTATAAGTACATCAAATAGGGTCATCTAAAACACTATTCTACATTTGCATATGATACTATTTCATTCCATCAAATTGTCTTAATGCACACACTGACAACTGAATTTTAAAAATTAGATATTTCCCCTTTATGCACTAGATAAGGTCAAGTTTAGAGAGCTTAATTGTATAAAATGATTTTTCCTAACTGTCCTAGTAATACATCCCCTGGGATGACATGTACTTAATTTCTTCTCAACCCAAGCAAATTCTCCATGCTACCAAAGGAAATAATGTGAGATTTTATGTAGAAATCTATACTTTATTAAGTTTGGGGGGGAAAAAAGTCTCACTCGGAGTTTTAGAGGTCTATTTCCAAATGATGCACATAATAAAAACTGATAAAGTGGGTATGGGTAACTCAGAAAACCTGAAAAGCCTCCAGATTTGTTTCTATAGAAGAAAGGGTGTGCCAATGCTGCTAAGCACTGAGATTTTACGAACAATCAGAAAGAGCATCATTGTACTTCCTTTGTTCAGGAAGGCTTAGCTCTGTATCCTACTGAATACAAGCAATTCCCACAGATTAACATTTTAATACTGAGTCTTTTCCACTTAGAGAATTCAATTTGTTTTTGTTTAAAAAGGAAAACCTTTAAGAACTAAGTTATATAAATGCGTAAGTGTTTACAATAACTCATAGTGCTCCCAAGAATATCTGACACAGTTATAATGAAAAACTACTGCATTTAATTCCTGGCTGGCAGCATATCCAGTAAATCATAGGCAGTGTCATATTTTAATCTTGTACATGTTTTGCATTTTAACTCTGAGATCAATGAATTCACGGTTAAACTTGTCTAGCTGACAACACACTTCAAAACGAGCTTTTAAGAAAATGTGAAGCACTACTCCCTAATTCATTTTATGAAGCAAACATAATCCTGATACCAAAATCAGACAAAGACATCACAAGAAAAGAAAACTACAGGCCAGTTCTCTCTTATGAATATAGATGCAAAAATCCTCAACAAAATACTACTCAACAGAATATGACAGTACATTAAAAGTCACACACCATGAGTAAATAGGCTTTATTCTAGGAAAGCAGGGATGTCTTAATATTTAAAAAAATCCATCAGTACAATACACCATACAGCAACAGAAAAAAGGAAAAGCACCAGATGATTATTTCTATGGATGCATAAAAATCCCAACACCCTTTAGATACAGAAAAAGCATTTGATAAAATTCAATACTTTCTTGATGAAAACCCTAAAGATTGGAGTAAAAGAGAAATTCTTCAATATGATTCAAGGCATATGTGAAACCCAACAGTCAACATTACAGTCAATGAGAACTGACAGCTTTCCCCTTGAAATCAGGAACAAGACATGGGTGCCCACTCTGACCACTTGTAGTAAATCTTGTATTAGAAGTCCTAGCCAGAGCAGTAAGAAATGGCATTCAGATTAGAAAGGAAGAAGTAAAATTATCTCTATTCACAAATAATATAATCTTATATACAGAAAGTTTCAAAGAATCAGTAAAAAAAATTCTAGCGTTAACAGAAGAATTCAGCAAAGAGCAGGGTACATGATCAATAAATAAAACTCAGTTTGGGCTTCTATAGACCTGGAATGAGGAATCTGAATGGGAAATTAAGAAAACAACTCTATTTATAATAACTTCTAAGAGAATAAAATACCTAAGAATAAATGTAATCAGGGACACAAAGGACTCAATACAATGAAAATTATAAAACACTGTTTAAAGCAATGCTGAAAGAGCACAGCAAACTAGGAGACACTTCAACCATGACTGTCAAAGGTTTGGCAGTTACATAATGAAGCCGTCATCTTCCATTTTGTGATCGGATGTGGCCATCCTCCATTTTCCAATAATGCCAATTTTGCATAATGAATGGTTTTTGGAACCTAATCATGTGGGTAAGTGAGGAGTGGGTGTAATCAAAACAATCAGTTACTAGTTTAACAACAGAGACATACACCAATAGAAATGAGAGTCCAGAAATAAACCCAAACATCTATAGACTTCAGGTTTTTTATAAGAGTGATAGGTTAAGTCCATTTGATGAGGAAAGAATAAATGATATTGGGAAAACTGGATTTCCACATGCAGAAAAATGAAACAGGATCCATGCCTTATGATTATACAAAGGCAAATTTAAAATGGTTTAACGAGTTAAATGTGCAAACCAAAACTAGAGACACAGCAGAGTTCCAGCACCTGGGCTGTACGGCCCACAGCTGCAGAACTCCAGACCAAGAGAGGAAAAGGAAGGTTTACCACCTCCACAAAAGGGAGGTTGGGTCACCAGCAGCAAGTAGGAGAGGGACTGGACTGGGAGACCTGAGAGACAAGATACAGAGCACATAACCTCAGCTTCTCTAGTACAGGCTTCCCAGAAAGTGAATTGTACTTACTTCACAGTGAAAAATTGATTGGGGGCAGGAGCTCCACTTTAAGAACTCTGGACTTGGGGATTTTATAAGATGCAAATTTCTCCCTTAAGGACTCCAGATTAGGAAGACACTTCTAGTTTAAACAGACTGGATTTTGGAATCAACAGTTCACTTTGGAGGGGAGGGTACTCTGTATGCCCCATTATGGCTTCCTCCCGACCAGCAGTCACTACCCAGTTCCTCCCAAGACAAGACCTGGAGCCTGGAACTTCTCACTCCCACAGCCCCTTCCTCCTGTCTTTAGGGTCTCAGGAGCCAGAGGGTGCTGGCAGCCCAGTGGTCTCCACCAGGCTTCCTTAGGGAAAGTGAGGCAGATAAATGTGTTCATGGTGTGGAGCTCCAATCAATGCCGCCAGATGGCGCAGCAGAATCCAAAGATACACAACTTTATTCAAAGCACCTGGGCACCCAGTGGAAGCTGCTAAGTGAGGATGAGAAGTGGTCCTCTGTGGAAGAGGCAATGCGGCTGGAGTTTGCCACCTATGTGACTACCCAGACTACAAGTACCGGCACCAGCACAAGACCAAGAGCACTGGCATTGGGCTGACACAGTTGTCAGGGAGGTGGCTGCCTGGCTGGCGGTGGGCTGGAAGAAGATGTAACCATCCAAAGGGCAAGAGGCTTTCAGAGGAGCAGATGGTGAGCATGAACTGTCAACCTTGCAGCTCAAACGACTTTGCAATCTGGCACACTAGGTTTTGGGTATCAGCCCCCTAATTATTCAATGGCCTACCTGACTGGCAGCTATGGCTCTTCTCACTACAACTAATGGCCTTCTATTGTGCTTCCCACATCTGGTCCCATGCTCACTCCTCAACCTGAGCTGCTCAGGCTCTGTATTGCCTGCAGACCCCAAGGCTCATCCACTGCATACAATCCTCCCCTTTCAGGCCCCTAACACACCTCTAGACCCTATAGACATGGACTACCCAGAAATGGCCCTACCTACCCAGAACCACTCCCCACTCCTAAGATGCAAACCCTTCCTGTATTGGGTCACACAGCTAAGAAGCCAGGGAGAACACCACAACTTAATTTTTGTAAGAACAGAATTTTGCAAGATTTAAAAAAAAGAAAATGTAGGATAATGTTATTCGGTATTGCACTGTACTGCAAAGTCGGTTTGAACCACAAGGTCGGCAGTTCAGGATAACCAGCCACTCCTCGGGAACCATGTACAGGGTTGCTATGGGTCGGGACCGACTTGACAGCACTTAACAATATCTAATATGAGGTAGGCCAAAAATACTATAAAATCACAGAAACTTTCATTAAATAAAAAGACCAAAATGTGAAGCATTTTGGTTATCTAGGTCTATGCACTTCTGAGGCAGTAAATTCTATCTCCAACCCTTTTCCAAATAATTCTGTGCTCTTTGTTGTTATTAAATGCCATGGATTCGGTTCCAAACCATAGCAACCCTGTATATGGTTTCCAAATGGTGTGTGGCAGTGGTATCATCCAACCTCCTCTGACTACACAAAGAGAGAGGAGAATCTAAGTCAGTGTCAGCCTAAGGCCAATTCCTAAGAGGCCGAGGTCAGACACCAATCACCCTTCCCACAGCACTCTCTACTTTTCAGATGGGTTCAGTAATTCATTGCAGTGGCCACAGAGAATTCAAAACCCATACTCAAAATTATGGGGTGGATTAAGAAATTAACAGGTTACAATGCAGGACCAGAAATGTTCAGGATACAATTCTTTGGCCAGAACAGCCTCTTCTCTGCTGTCCCTTGACCTCTGCCCCACTTAAGCAATGTTACAATGTTCTTTCAGGGCTGCTGATAAATGCCCAAAGGTCATTCCACTTTACGCTAAACCTCTAGGCTCTAGCTCCATGAGTCAGCAAACCTAGCTTCCCTGTCTCACTCACTCACACACACACACACACAGAGACACAGACACATACACACACATTAAGTGACTAAAGGCGCCCATGTATAATCAAGCCTCCTGCCCAAAGAGCTTTCTCACTCAGTGAGATTCCACTGCTCTGGCTCTTGGTTCTGTGGCTGCCTCTGCTCTGCCACTCATGTGCTACCCTCCCAGTGTCATGGATCTGTCTCCGGGGTCAAAAAGGTTCAACGCTTAGTAATCTTGGGGTCCAAAGGGCATGCTCCACTCCTGGCTCTTCTTTCTTGTTGGTAATGAGATCCCCCTGTCCCTGCATCTAAGATGGTTCACTGTATACCCACTTTAGAATTTTTAACAATATATTATCAACCCTGTTAACAATCAACTCACAATAGAATCATAGAGCCCTACCAGTATCTTCTCCCACCTTCTCTTACACAGAGACATCAGGAAAACAAGTTGTTTCATGGCATGAAATCATATGGACAGAAGAGTCAGTCGTATGAAATAATTGACTGTACTGTACCACATCAAAATGGCCGTTTGGGGCATCCTCAAGGGACCCAAATCATGTTCCTTTTAAATGTTCTTTGAGTTTGGGGAACCAAACAAATTCTTAAGGAAAAGATCAGGCTGAATGAATGTAGTTTTCAATTTACTTTAAATTTTTTTCTTAATAAGACTCTGTGATCAGCATCCTTTGAGAAAAGCTATCAAGATTATCCCTCTGGAAATCCCAAGAAACAGTAGCCAAAATCTTTTGAACTGACCTCTCTGCCTTGAATTTAAAGTGGCCCAGCAGAGCACCTTGGAAGCTACTGTTTGGATTAAACTCCCCCCTCCCCCCCACAAAGGCACACTAAGGAGATTAAGATAAGTGTGTTACTAAGAGAACTTGCCTGAATCCATCCACTGATTGCAGAGATATGTTTAAACATGTTTATTGGGATTAAACCTGGGCTTTTATGAACTGGAATCCTAGTAACAATACTTTTTGATTTACACTTGTATAATAGCAAGCTCAGCAGTTCGAAACTACCAGCAGTTCCGTGGGAGAAAGATGAGGCGGTCTGCTCCCGTAAAGATTTACAGCCTCAGAAACCCTTTGTAGGGTCGCTATGAGTCAGAACCGACTCCACGGCACATAACAACAACAATAGCAAAAGTACAAACAGCAAAAGACAAAATAACAAAATGGGACCTCATAAAAATTAAGAGCTTTTGTTCAACTTAAGAATTTACCAGAAAATTAAAGAGACAAATTACCACTGACTAGGAAAATGTCTTTAGAAACCATGTATCTGATAGGACTCTAATAATCTAAATACATAAATCAACAACAAAAGTTAACCTAATCAGAAAATGGGCAAAGGAACTGAACAAACATTTCACAAAAAAGGACATTTAAATAGACACCAAATTACGAAAAGATGCTCAATGTCATTAGTCAACAGAGAGATGCAAATCAAAACCTCAATGAAATACCATTTCACTCCCACTAGATGTTCCAACTCATAGTGACTCTGTATAGGGTTTCAGACCTTGGAGTTCACATTAACATTACAATCCAGTGCTTAGGGCTAAGATTAAAAACAACAACAACAAAACAGATAATAACAAGTGATAGCAAGGATGTAGGAAAATGGGAACCTTTATCCATTGCTGAGAATGCAAAATGGTTCAGCCAATTTGGAAAATAGTGTGGCAAATCCTCAAAAAACTGAAAACAGAATTACCACATGATCCAGCATTTCTACTCCTACACATATACCCAAAAGATCTGAAAGCAGAGACTCAAAAAGTACTTATTTGTACACCAATGTTTATGCAATACATTCACAATGGCCAAAAGGCAGAAACAACCTAAATGCCCATCAACAGATGAATGGACAAATAAAATGTGGTACACACATATAAGGAAATACTGCTGAGCCAGTAGAAGAAATAAAGTCTTAGTACTATATTGGCAGAACCTGAAGACATTATGCTGAATGAAGTAAATCAGCCATGAAAAGGCAAATATTGTCACTTATATGAAAAGACAAGAAGAGTCACATGTATAGAAAGTACTAAAGTTTATTAGTGATTGCCAGGGACTCCTGGTGTGGTTGCTGTAGGCTCACCACGGGTTCAAACATACCAGATGCTCCTCGGAAATCCTATGCAAGATATCTGTGTAAGTTGGAATCGACTCGATGCACTTAACAACAAAGCAGGAGCAGAAGGGAAGGAAGCGGGGATTAGTAGTGATGGAAAAATTGCATTGATTAAGGGTGACGTTGCACCACTGATTATTGTTATTACTGTAAGTTGCACACCTGTAAAAAATTGAATTGGCCAAAGTTAAATGTGTGTTTTAAATGACACACAAACACAAAAAGAGTAGCTGCTGACACTTATGTATAACCAAATAATGTGTATAGTGCTTCTGTTCTACCTCCTAGTATCATGGATAGTGCCTGGGGTCTTAAAAGTTTGCAAGCAGCAACAGAGAAAGGAGGAGAATCAAAAATAGAAATAGAAAGAGGAAAGGAATGTGTGACCAATTGCCTCATGAACAAAACTGCCTCCTTGTCCTGAAACTAGAAGAACTGGATGGAGTCCAGTTACCATTACTGAACATTTTGATCAAAGATTCTAGAGAAGAATCTTGGTCAAAAGGTGGAAAATGCAGAATAGAATTTCAAATTCTCATGGAATCCAGACCTTCTGGAGTCATGAGGTAGGATGGCCCTCCCATACTACTGCCTTGTGATTTGGTTTAAACCTTAAACCAAAGATATCCCTTAAAGTCTTCTTAAAACCAAATAGTTTCGCTTACCTCATACAGAATGTCTGTGTTAATTAAGCACTATGCTCTAAGATCTATCTCTACAGGATGAAACTGATATCAGCAACTCGAAAGACTGAATAGAAACCTAACAGGGCAGTGAATTTATGTTACTGAGAGAACAACTCAGAAAAGGAAGGTGAAGATGGTTCCACACCTTAAAGAATGTAATCAATGTCATGGAATTGTATATGTACAAAACAGATGAATTGGTTTATGTTTTGCTGTGTATATTCTCAACACATTTAAAAAAACAACCATGAAGTTCCACTTGAACTCAGTGTTCTTTTTAAAACAGAGCAGAAGTTGCTCCCCCAAGTTCTCAGGAGTAGAACTTGCTTTCTTAAACCAAAACATAAAAGCTAGAGTACACAGAAGAAAAGGAAACCATGTACAGAGGACCCATGGGACTGTCAGGAACTGAAAAACAGAATGACATCCTTCCACTTCAAAGATATTCTTAAAAATGTTTAGCTCAACTGCTTCTCGAACATTTTCTCAGGTGACTTACCTCTTTAACAGTGAATGTTTCACCTTGTGCACCTGCTGCCTGCAAAATCTTCAAAAGTGGCAGTTTGGGTCGTACCTGATGCAAACAAAAAATAAATCTTCTATTTACATTTAGTCAGATCTGCCTCCTCTGTAAACCTATGGTACAAAAGAATTTCCTTAAACTTTTTTTTAAAGAAACCTTAGCTTACTTATCACCTTACACATAAAATCATCCAATGTGTAAAGTAATTTTTCCAAGACATCAAGAAAATTGTTGCCATCCTGGAAAGCCACATTTTCAAAACATAGCAATTTAAAGCTAGACTGCCTGGAATGGAATCCTGGCCCACATCACTTTTTAGGTGTGTGACTATGGGCTAACAACTGACTTCAATTTTCTTCTGTTTGGAATATATATCTATTTATATGCGTAAACTGTGTCTGGTGGCGCAGTGGGTTAAGCACTGTGCTGCCAACCATAAGGTTGGCAATTTAAGCCCATCAGCTACTCCTCAGGAGAAAAATGAGGCTGTTTGCACCTGTAAATACTTAGTCTTGGAAACCCTAAGCAGTTCTACCCTACCCTATAAGGTCACTATGAGTTAGAATCAACTTGACGGCAGTGGGTAGACCTAACCTGGGTCCCAGGGGGGTGCAAATGGTACCTTCTAAACAAAAGGTAGGAAGTTCAAATCCAGAGGCACCCCAGATGAAAGGCTTGATGATCTACTACTAAAAAATCAGCCCCTGAGTACCAGATGGAATGCAGCTCTCCACTGGCACACATGAGAGGTCAATGAGTCAGAGTCTAGTTTATGGCAATGGTTTTGAAAACATTTTCTTTAGGCCTTCACTCAGAGAAATGCTAAAGGGAAGCCCCACATAGTGGAGAAAAATGTGTCCACAAAAGGCAAGTCTAAGCGCCAGAGTGAAGGATTGGAGCTGTTAAATCTTTAACTTATCTGGAATTTGTATATGTACAAAGTTTGAGAGGTATTAATTTGTTTTCCTCCACATTGACCAATTATGTCAAAACCATTTATTTGTATAAGCCACATTTTCCCACCAAATCCATATTCTACCCTTACCGTATACTACTAAGGTACAGAATACACTATATATTGTGAAATGTTTATAAAAACACAAAACAAAATGACATATTTTTATAATTATATCTATATGCATATATATACAAAATATCAGAGGAAAACACAGGGAGAACTTTGAGAGAGAAAAGGAACAGATGGTCAAAGAAGTCTTTGTAGATAAACATTTTATAGATCAATACATTATATTATAAAGTTTTAATTTCTTATAACATATTTGTTATTTAAAGAAAGCAAACTGGTTAAAACACCAGTAAGACAGAAAAAAACTTATTTAACCCAGTCCCAAATTCTCAACTAGCTATTCTCATTTAAAACAACATTCGTTTTCAAGATGTGTGGTTTGGAGAAATCTACATTGTCCAAAAATTTAGTCAACGATCAATTCAAATTTATGATCAGTGGCACTGTTTATAGGTTTCTAGAAAATGTAATTAAAAAAATAATAATTTCTGCTCCATATAAAATCCTACAATCTGTGAAATGAGCTACATGACTTAACTCATATTTTAGAAGTTTTAAGAAAAATAGAAATGCTTAAAAATGATTTACCTGAGTGATTTGTTCTGGGGAGATCCTGCAAGCACTATCAGATGTTGAACAATGGGCAGAGGCGGGAAGAGATGTCATCTTGGCAGTGAAGAAATTGGGGTTTGCTGATAAAACTAAAAAGGAAAAAAAAAATCATAAATTATATTCGAAAGTAGAAAATTATCTTTCACATTTACCAAAAAAGCAGCCAGCTAAAGCTTCTAAGTGAACGCAATATATCCATGATGAGATTCTTGATACTTTCTAGATCACTTTCTAGCTCAGACGCTGCCAAAAACTGAAGAGGTGAATTAAGAGTAACAATCATCTACACTTCCCTCAGGTGAAGCTGAAAAGAGAAACAGGCTTGGGCATGCTCCAAGCTCCACCCAGACAGGAGACAGTAAATGAATCTAGCTGAAAGTCAAATGTATAATCATTACCTCCCCAAGGAGATCTGATAGCTCTTCCTCCTCTCTGAGACTGTGCTTAAGAGTAACCTGCCGGAAGACAGGTGTGAGGTTAAGGGAATTACCAAGATAAAGATTCCAAAAGCATATCAAGGAAAATCTCACCAACATGTTAGAACATGTCCTAGAAAGCAGCCGCAAGAAAGTGAGTCAAATTTTTCAGTTTGTTAAACCAACTTTTAATGAACCATTAAAACCCAGAAAGAGCACAGGAGGTAGATATCTACAAAATGGGCTACAGAGTCCTGGTGTGACACTATAGGATAAGCACTGGACTGCTAACCACAAGATAAGTGGTTCAAACCCACACCAGGACTCCAACAAAATATAAATACCTTCCTCCGACAACAGCCTCCCTTGCTATGAAATGGAAAATACAATACAGTGCAAAGACAACTTACAATTTTAAAAACAACTGGCTTTTAATTGGCAGTTCAAGCCTTACATATATGAAACCAATCCTCTCTACCCATGTGTTGTCTCTATTTCAATAAATTGCAACGCTATCCTTGCAGTTTCAACTATCAACACTCGCGGAAGCAGCAGTCAAGAGATCAGACGACGTATTGCATTGGGCAAATCTGCTGCACAGGAACTTTTTAAAGTATTGAAGAGCAGAGATGTCAGCTTGAGGACTAAGGTGCGCCTGACCCAGGCCATGGTGTTTTCAATAGCCTCATATGGATGCGAAAGCTGGACAGTGAATAAGGAAGATCGTAGAAGAATTGATGCCTTTGAGTTGTGGTATTGGAGGAGAATACTGAAAGTGCCACAGACTGCCAAAAGAACCAATAGATCTGTTTTGGAAGAAGTGCAGCCAGAGTGCTCCTAGGAGGCCAGGACGGCTAAGCTTCGTCTCTCATACTTTGGACATATTGTCCGGAGGAAACAGTAGCTGGAGAAGGATGTCATGCTGGGTAAGGTGGAGGGTCAGAGAAAAAGAGGAAGACCCTTAACGAGATGGATTGACCAGGTGGCAACAAGTGTGGCAGTGGTAGTGAGGTTGGCCCAGGATCGGACATTGTTTCGTTCTGCTGTGCATAGGGTCGCTATGAGTCGTTTCCGACTCGATGGCACCTGACAACAACAACAACATCCTTGCATTTGCTCAGGTCAGTAACAAATAAAGGTATCCTTGACTCCTCTGTCTTTTACACTCCACACCTAGTCCATAGACAAACTATGATGCTGTTCCTCCAAACAACAAGGGGATTTCAAAAAGTTCATGGAAAAACACAAGAGATAATGGAATTTTTCCATGAAACATTTTGAAGCCCTCACATATATCCAAAGTCCAACCACTTCTCACCAATTCCCTTGTTACATTAACCCAACCCACTCATCTCTTAAATGGATTATTGGATTAGCTTTCTAAAGGTTTTCTTGCTTCCACCCTGTTTGGTCTCTGTTCAAATGTCAGTTTATCAATGAGGCCTTACTTCCAAAACCATCCACTCTTTAAAAGAGCAATTCCCAGCCCCTAGCATTCCTTATCCTCTTCACTACTTTATTTTTCCCCATAATCTTTACTGTCAACTAACACACTACACACATTTTTGTGCTGGACCTCAAGGTTTTGAACCAAGTATTGACACATTTAATTCTTAGTATCTGTATGATGTAGGCAAGAGCAACACAGAGAATTTACTTACCTAAGGTCACACAATTAGTAGTTGTGGAATCAAGATTCAAACTTAGACAAGCTCTAGTCTTCATTTAGCAAGACCCTCCTGCCCCACCCATCCCACCCAAGTGCACAGAATTGAATTAATCAGAATTCTTTTGTTCAACACAGTTTATCCCACTTTTATTTAGTTGATTATTTAAAAAACGCAGTAAGCATCCACAAACTAGGACTTACGACAACCTACATCTAGCCATACCTCCTATTCCAACAATCATCCTGAATCATTTGTTCTGTTGCTTTCCTTTTCATTCATTTTAGTTATCAAAATGGGCTCCTACATTGTTATATACCTGGAAAATGCTGACTTAGCAAACGTTGTGTTACTTGAGGGGTTTCAAAAAGTTCATGGAAATATATTAAAAGATAATGCAGGTTAAGCACGAGCGGTGCGAGGCGAATAACGCGGAGGCTGAAGTTCCCGTTTACTCTACGTAGACGGCGCCACTGCAAAGATGGTAAATGTCCCTAAAACCCGAAGGACTTTCTGTAATATGTGTGGCAAGCATCAGCCTCACAAAGTGGCGCAGTATAAAAAGGGCAAGGATTCTTTGTATGCACAGGGAAAGGGGCGCAATGATCGGAAGCAGAATGGCTATGGAGGGCAGACAAAGCCAATTTACCGGAAAAAGGCTAAAACCATGAAGAAGATTGTGCTGAGGCTTGAGTGTGTGGAGCCTAACTGCAGGTCCAAGAGGATGCTGGCCATTAAGAGATGAAAACATTTTTGAACTGAGAGGCGATAAAAAGAGAAAGGGCCAAGTGATCCAGTTCTAAGTGTTTTCCTTTTTTTAATTTGGAAAAAAAAAAAGTGCTGACGCAATTAAAAAATTACATGCAGGAAAACAGTGATATTCTTAATAATAATAATAAAGATAATGCAATTAGTTTGACAGTGGACCATTTTATCTTGTGGGGGGCAACACTAGCAAGATATACTCATCACGGAACAATCAATCATTAACAATTATAAGCCCAACGTTTTCCTAAGGTCAATGTTAGCAAGGGATAGGAAGGTGGGTAGAATGCAAATAGGAACCACATGAAGGAAGCAGGTTAACTTCTGCTAAGTGGAGGCAATTGTAATCATTGAGATGATTTGCTGAATGGAAACTGATGATCTTTTCTGTAAATTGTGCCTCAATACACAATAAATATTAAAAAGAGATAATGGAATTTTTCAACCAATTTTTTGATGCTCCCTCATATTTTTACAATGGAGTCCTTATAAGTGTACATTTTTGGTTTGTTTTTACCTTTAAAACTCAGATGTTACATGTACTTTGGGGAATTTTGGTTTCACATAGATTTATCGGCACTGTTACTTTAGCTCATTTTTCATTTATTTTGACCTACTATATTCCAGTGTGTGATTATACTATATTCATCGTTTTTTTTTTTTTGGCCCTATGAACATCTGAGTTGTTTCTAGGTTTGTACTAATGCGAATGCTGCTGTTAAAAGTGTCATCGGCTTTTCATTTAAGCAACACGCAGCGCAACATGGCGGCACAAATTTCCAAGAAGAGGAAATTTGTAGCTGATGGCATCTTCAAAGCCGAACTGAATGCGTTTCTCACACGGGAGCTGGCTGAAGATGGTTACTCTGGAGTTGAAGTTCGAGTTACACCAACCAGAACAGAAATCATCATCCTAGCCACCAGGACACAGAATGTTCTTGGTGATAAGTTCTGGTGGATCCGGGAACTGACTGCCGTGATTCAGAAGAGTTTTGGTTTCCCAGATGGCAGTGTAGAGCTTTATGCTGAAAAGGTGGCCACGAGAGGTCTGTGTGCCATTGCCCAGGCAGAGTCTCTGCGCTTCAAACTCCTAGGAGGGCTTGCTGTGTGGAGGGCCTGCTATGGTGTGCTGCGGTTCATCATGGAGAGTGGAGCCAAAGGCTGTGAGGTCGTGGTGTTTGGGAAACTTCGAGGACAGAGAGCTAAGTCCATGAAATTTTTGGATGGTCTGATGATCCACCATGAGGACCCTGTTAACTACTACACTGACACAGTTGTGTGCCACGTGCTGCTCAGTGTGTGCTGGGCATCAAAGTAAAGATCATGCTGCCCTGGGACCCAAGTGGTAAGATTGGCCCGAAGAAACCCCTGCCTGACCATGTGAGGCATTGTGGAACCCAAAGATGAGATACTACCTACCACCCCCAACTCGGAGCAGAAGGGTGGGAAGACAGAGCCACCTGCTATGCCTCAGCCAGGCCTCACTGCATAACAGGGTCTCCTTGGCAGCCGGATCTGGAATTTGGATGTTGCTCTGTAAAGAACTTTAATAAAAATATTAAAAAAAAAAAAAAATCCTCAGGGGTTTTATTCTTTTTTCATATGGATTAGTTTTTCCAAGCTCAATTTATTGAACACAGCTCTATTGACTTACATCCCTTACATGCATGAGTGCATCTGGGTTCTCTATGCGATGCCATTACTCAGTTTTTCTATATTTATATAATTTCATGCTGTCTTAATTCCTATAGCTTATAATTCTTGCTATCTGGTAGGGCAAATCCTCCCCACCCCATTCTTTTATAGAAAAGACCCCCATTTCTGGACCAATAATTCTCTGTAAATTTTAGTTCAAGGTCCATGCTGGAACTCAATGAAATCACATTCACTATATAGGTCAAGATAAGGCTGCCTGCTCCCATAAAGATTTACAGCCTCAGAAACCCTATACCGGATTTGCTACGGGTTGGAACTGACTCCATGGCACATAACCACCACCATATAGATCAAGTAGTTTCAAATATATTCCTCTGTTAATTACACACCTCTTAATAAAGTTTTTTAACTTTTCCTAAAAATCTTGACCATTTGTGTTTAAATTTATTTCTAAAATTAATATTCTGCGACTACTGTTAATGATGCCTTTTGATTTTTTAGTGATTTTTACAGAAGTATACAAATAGTCATCTTACTAAACATCTAATTA